CATCAGCATAAGTTATGTTTTACCTTAGATTAGGTGATTGTGAGTAAAAAATATTTTCCCTTTCAAAATTTGCTCAGTTTTTTTGCATTTATTTATTCCTTTTAATCTTATACTTCCAGCAGTTTAAGTCCAATTTGTGAACGTGACAAAATTGAACATGGCCTAATTAGGTTGAGCTCAAGCCAAGCCTGAGCTCAGCCTAAAATCTTGTCTTTGCCATAAAACTAATGGTAATTTTTTAGGAACCAGTTTAAAATCTTTGTGACAATAACAACACATTGGCCTTCTAGTTCAAATATAAATGCAGGTTTCTGCACATCGTGTGACATTAAGGATACGCTGATAAATGTATTTTGTTCAAGCTTAAATTCTTCACTAATATGAGCAGACTGGAAAACAAACTGTGCTAAAATTTGATTGCTCTGAGGTTTGGTATAAATATCTTGTGGTATGCTTTTAAAAATGCCTGGGTAAATTATGCAAGAGAAAAGAAGCTTAACAAATTAAAAATAGCTTTTTGGAGCAGCCAACAAATATAATTTAATTGCATTCTTGAGGGCTGTGGAACGCTGCGCATCACACTCTTTATGTCTCCCAAGCAAATATTTCCCATGAATACAAATGCCTTGGTTGACACATGACTCTGTGAAATGAAGGGTGTGAGTTTCCACTACAATGATTTGGCGTGAGGCCTAAGTGGTGTGAGTGGAAAAGGTTGACACACCCAGCTGGGAAGTGGTTACTTAAGCTGTACTTGAGCATTCCCAGTGTCCCCTTAGCAACCTTGTGGAACGACTTTGAAGCGAGAGACCACAAGCAGGATGAAAACTATCATTATACAAAGCTTTGTTTACTGTACTATGCCCTGGACTGTGCTTGGCTTAGATATAGTATAGTCTGAATGGATTGTTTATTAGGAAAAGCTTTGTTGTGGCGATGGTAAAGTACTACTTCATATTATAACAGTCCTGAGTAAATGTGTGTAACTGCACTTTATGTCTTGAGGGATGGCCTATTGGTTTTTACACATTCTGATACAAACGTGCGCCTAGAAACATTTAAACATTGTGCACAGACTTCTCATAAGGACTGATATTTGTAGAGTCAAAGCAGGCAAAGGATGAGAGGCGTTCGCTGGGTCTGAGGGATGTTACATTTCTTCATTGGAAGGTGAACACGAGGCTCTGCGTGGATGTACGCGTGCCTTATAGTTTGCTGTGACCACAAGGACTCGTCCCCATGGACAATGCACTGCAATGCACCAATTCTGCACGCATTCTCCAGGCCCACTCCAAGCATATTTGAATAAATACATGTCAGTGGTCTTTGCAGCTGTTGTGTGTATCCACAAGCCAGTAAAATCCCAACGTTTATACCAGAGTTTGCTTATCTGAGTGTTTACATTGTTTTATCAAATAATATATCAAAATCATTATTGTTTGATTATCTGATACAGTCTCATTCAATATTCTAAAACATAAGTAATTGGTTCTGAATTATTTATTATCATTATTATCAATATTTTTATTATTATTTGTGGTAGTAGTAGTATTAATATTAGTATTTATTTGAGCCGTCATCAGTGATCAGCTTTGCTTTTAGGGAACGAAGCCCAAAAGCTCGTTTTATCAGATAACTTCCCTATTTTTCTTCTCTCAATTGTTTCTGAACGCTCCTGAAGATCACCCTGATGACATCTACCCCATCGTCCTGACAACAGCCACCCAGGAGCTCTTTGAATGCTGCGTTGATGAGGATGTCACAGAGCAGAGCCCTTACAAGCTGCTGAACAAGGACGACATCATACAGGATATTAAGACAAGAGCCGCAGTGTCCGATTTCCACCCTGTGAAGCAGTTTGTGCTGGTTAGGCGCTGGTTATGCATTGTTGCATAGTTTACTCAGACAACAGCAAGCAGACACTGTGATGATGCACAGACCCAAGTTAAGAGCTGTGGGAAAAGACAAAGCAACCAGTTTAACTTCATTTTTTTCTCTGTCTGATCTAAATTCTTTTATGCATTTATGACACAACTTTGCAACTTTAGTCATCTACAAATGAGACACCAGTTTTCCTTTCAGCCATTTCGGTTTTTGTGATGTTTGTAGGGTTTTTGGCATTTTCACATTCACTCTCAACCAAATTACTGGAGAAGTAGTTTGTACTGTGATGTATTCTAACACTCTCATAAAAAATTAATGCTGTGATTTTCACTTTCTTTTGACAGGACTACCCAGAGGATGAAATAATGCTCGTTTTTGATGTAGATTTCACCTATGGACAGAGTTTTTACCTGGTTCTCACACCAGAAGCCATGGCTAGAATATATAATGTAAGCTAACAGTTTTGGTTCTCTTTTGTTAATATATTTTTTCTTTCCTCAATGTATGTTTGTTATTATACAGGCCTGGCCAATAATTAAAACATGTATACTGATAAGCAGTAACATAGGCAGAAGTTTTATATTATTTAATTTAAAGGTCTTTAATTGTTTCTAGTGCTTTTGTGGCACCAGTTATTAGTAATAGTGACAGGTCATATATCATCCTGGCTGTTTCGCTTTCCTAGCTATTTTTCCGTAAAATTTAAGACTGTAAGTACTACTTTATTATCTTTCCCTAGCATAAGCATTTTGCTGTAAGTATGAATACATGTAAAGATTGCTAGTGTGTGGGGTTTTTTTACTGTTATTTTGTCCTTTATATTATATATTCTTATAATTGTATTTAGGTTCTGCAGCCCCCACAACCTGAAATAATAGAATTGGTGGATGATGTCATTAAAACCCCAGAACCAAAGCCATGGATATCTCTCGGCAGTGAGCTGGAAGTAGATCAAGAGTCTGTCAAAGAGACCAGAGAAAAGGCACTGCAGTATATTCAAATTAACATTAAATATTTATATCTGATCTGATTGCTTCGCTCATGAATTCTGTTCTGTCTCTTCTGTCATCATCAGCTGTGCTACAAGTTCGACTTAAAGCGCAGACCGGGGTTACCTGTCTGTTTTTTTGACCGCAACAGTACAGAGGCTGAGTGTCGCTCCGTGGCGTGTCCTTCCTACCAAGACAGCAGATTCAGCATCAAGCAGATGCAGAGGGACTGCGGGATGCAGGCTGTTCCCAGGCTGCAGAGCAGCACTGCTCAGAC